CTTAAGAAGAGAGAGCTGGAGATTTCTAACGTAATTCTTTTGCTAATGTGAACGATTTCAATATTCAAAGTGCCTAAATCCGCTTGTAAAGAAGATGCCGAACTATTCATCCTTTCCTCCCCCTCCCCTTTCTCCTGCGGGCGGTGGGGGGGATGGGGTGGAAGTGCGGGTCTGACTTCTCTGCGGACCCTCAGGGGTGAGGGCCGGGGTGTTGAGAGGGAGCGAGGAGAAGAGGAAGAGATTTTCTCCAAGATCGCGGTAATAAAGCACTAATCACCGCTCCTGGAATAAATATGATAAAAATCAAGTGCTTAGTTTAAAGTTGATCAAAATTGTTCAAGCGTGACCAATGAGCCAAAATCCTGGGTAATAACTGCGCGCCCTGACAATCCCCTTCTCCCCCTCGCCCACTCGGGCTCGCAGCTCTGCACGGCCCCCGTGCTCCTGTCTCCCACGTAACCCCTTGCTCAAAACTTTCTTGCAGATGATCCAAGCAATACAAGTATTAAGGTTTCACCTTTTGGAATTAGAAAAGGTAAGAGCCACGGAGGTGGGCGGGGGGCAAGCCCTTCCCTCCCTGTCGTCCGTCCCCCTGTCCCGTGTCCCCCCCTCCCCTTGACTGTTTGGGATGACTTGTGAACATGGCCAGAGGAGACAGGGGAAACGCAGTGTGATACTGTAACCTGTGCCACCAGAGCATGTGACATCCGACAGCCATGCTCAGCCCAGCCCGGCATTATTTGGGTTTTTTTCGGCCTAATTTCAACCCAGTCATTAAATGTACGTATTATTAAACCTTTTCCACCCTTCTTACCCCTTCCCTCAGCAGAGGTTCTTTTCCTGACTCGGAAATAACACGTTTAACAAAAAGAGAAATGGAAGGACTCCTGCCTTTCTCCAGCTCTGGCAGGCACATTAACCCCAAACGAGCAGTAAATGTTTGGAAGAGGCAGGGGGCCCTGCGCGGCGTGGGGAGGGGGCTGTGCCCCGGGACGAGAACGGCTCTTCCCACAGCCCCCGCGAGTACCTGCCTTTGGCTGCTCCCGGCCCCTTAGACCTTTTTTTAGCCCCGGTTTAAACCCATCCCGTCCCGAGTGACTAGTTGTACCTGTCTGGGCTGTATCTGCTCCAGAGATATCGCCTGGGTCCAGCTCCCAGCGTTCTGATGTTATCATCAAATCGGATTTTCCTCTGCACACCAGGCTGAGCCCACTCTCTCTCTCTCTCTCTCTCTCTCTCTCTCTCTCACTTGTTGCTGCGGCAAAGTCTCTAGAGAATAATATGTGCTGCAACAATTTCTCTATTGTTTCCTTGCCTTCAACTATTGTGCCCCTTAATTAGAGTTACTTGTGGAGGAGATCAGAGGGTTGTTCTTGCTACCAAAAAAAAAAAAAAGTTGCAATCCGATATTGTGCCATTATTAATACTATTATTCTTGTTACTGTTTTCAGGTTCATGAATTGTGCGATAACTTCTGCCACCGGTACATTAGTTGTTTGAAAGGAAAAATGCCAATAGACCTCGTTATTGATGAAAGGGATGGCAGCTCCAAATCAGACCACGAAGAACTCTCAGGATCTTCCACAAATTTAGCCGATCATGTAAGTCTTTCTGATTTCTTTATGGCACTTCTTAAGACTTTAACCTGCTCAGCGGACCTGTCCCCGATTTCACTGTTTTGCTGCTGTTGTCTGTTAGTAGCGTTATTATTACTACTTTAACCTCTTGCGAGCTCGGATCTCACCTTTACACCTTCTCCCCTCTCGCTCTGTGAAGTTGTAGAAATGCGAAAGGTTCCATCTGTAAAGCAGGGAGTTTGCAATGGTTTGCACAGTTCCCTGGTCTGGGCGGCTTGGAGAGCCAGCAAACTGCCGGTTGGATGTGGGGATCGGTGCTTTCTCCGCTTCTTTGCCAACTCTGTAATCAATGCAGCAATGTAAAGAAGCAGAGACAAGAAAGTTAGGGAGAAAGTTTGCTGATTTGCTCCCCCCTCCCCTCTCGTGGGGATGACAAGTGATGAGAATTATTGGCAATACTACATTGCATTAAAAAAAGGGGGTTAGCACATTAGAGTTTCCAATGCTTGTGCTTTATAGCAACTTATTGTCAGAATATGGACTTATTGCCAAACGCCTGAAGCATCTTCATAATAAAAGACAGTAACCTTGATGAAGCAATTATTAACAATGTATTACAGAAAGCTGGAGAGAATGATGATTGAGTAACCGTAGGTTAGCCGTTGATTTTAACACTTTAGGAGTTGGTGAATTAGTGTTATGTGTGTGGGATTGAACGTTGGTGTGCGTGGTACGGAGAGTGCCTTTGTTTTTCCGGGTTTTGGAGGGGCTCTTGTGATCCTTCAAAAGATGTAGACGCGGAGAGGCTCCGGGATGTGAAGGGAAAGATCGCAGCTGGTACCGCAGAACGGGGAAGGAATAGCTCTGGTTAAAAAGAGTGGGTGTGAACTCTCAGTTTATTTATAGGAACGCATCCCTGGGGGGGAAAGGGGTTTACACAGTTCTAGATTCAATCGAACTCATAATCTGAATGATAACAGTCTAATATTTTAGCGGTTGAAATATTAATTTAGCACCCGGTGTGAAGTTAACCATGCTTTCTGCACAGGCGCCTGCCTGTGTTTCCCAGTGTGTTAAGAAGAGTAGCTGCGAGCCCAGGGAGAAGGAGCTTTCTAGGAGCTTTTGTTTCCTTTGAAAACATGTTGTTTGCGTGTGTATTTGATAATTACATTAGACCTGGACTGAAGCTGAACTAAGAGATAAAATAATAACAAATTCTTCTAAATGCCCCCCTTCTGGCACGGCTTAGTTACAGAGCCCGGGAAATATTTTTGGACCCAAGCCTTAACTTTCATTTTCTCATTTGTATTTGGTAAACATTGCAGGACAAGGCTTTTGCGATGTTTTACATCTTTAATCTATTATTTTGAGAGAAAAAAAAAAATTGTATGCAGAGGTTCCTGAAAGTTTCTCTGCTTATCAGCTATCTCACACGCAGATAATAAACTCCATGAGGCACGACACTATTTCAAAAATATTTGTTTTATGGCATTTTACAACACTAAATCCCTGTGTGTAAGTGTTCTGGGAGAGTACTAGAAAAGAAATTGAAATGAGTGGCAACCTGAAAGGTAGGGGGTCATTGTGTATAATTCAGTGCAAGAGAAGGG